AAATTTGTAATAAGACATGAGATCATGTTTGTGGTAAGTGCCAATGCATAACAAGTGGGATTGGATGCATCTATCACTCAACAATTTGAGGAAGATCTTGAGGTAATGGTGGGACAAGTAGCAAGGGGAGAAAAGCTGGTCATAGGTGGCTACCTCAATGGACATGTGAGCCCAAGTTGTGATTGGTTTGAGAGTATCCATGAAGGACATGGTTTTGACACTAGAAATGAAGCGGATTAAAAACATACCGCTTCATTTCTAGTCTGAAAATACATCCTGGATTTCGCCTCAACATTTGAGTTGACAGTAATGAACACTTGGTTCAAGAAAAGAGACTCTTATCTTATGGCCTATAAATGTGGAGCTAATAGTACCTAAATTGATTACTTCTTAGTACAAGCGGCTTCAAGAACTAGCTACACTGATTCATGCTTGTGCTTGAGAGTGTTGTCACTCAGTATGTAATGTTTTTGCTCGATTTTCAAGGTAAGAAGAGAAGCGGGTTAAGCAACAAATGGAGCCAAAGACAAAGTTGTGGAGGCTCGAGAGGGATCTCCAACAAAGTTTTAAACACAATATGTTGGAGGAAGATGTATGGTGTATCGCTAATGACACACATGTGGATGATGTGTGGTTATCGTTGGAGTCGACCATTAACAAAGTGGTGAAAGAAATATTCGGATAATCTAAAGGATCTTTGCCACCAAAAAATGACACATCTTGGTGGAATGATGAGGTGAAACAAACAATAAGGATCAAAAGGAAATGCTACAAGAAGTCGGGCAAAAGTTGGAGCGATGAGAATATAGAGGTACAAAGAGGAGAAAATAAAAGTAAAGAAAGACGTAAAGGAAGCAATAAGGAAAGTGAACAAGTAGTTGTATCTAAATTGGACTCTAAAGAAGAGAAAAAGATATTTATAAACTCACTCGTTTTCGTGATCGTAGGATTCAAGATATCAGAAAAGTTAAATGTGTGAAAGATGTCGATCAAACGGTACTAATGGAGGATTTGGAAATAAAATAGAGGTGGTCATACTTTTGATACCTTGTTCAACGCGAATAAAGTGCAAGGTATTGATGATCTTACTATACCAAATTGTATAATAAATCGTGATTTTGTGAGAAGGATTCAAATGACAGAAGTTAAAGAGGCTTTGAGAAAGACGAGGCAGAAGTAAATAGTGCGTCCATATGACATACCAATTGAGGCTTGAAGAAGATTGGGAGAGAGAGGCATCAAGTGGCTTACATGTTTCTTCAACACGATTTGGAGAAACAACAAAATGCAGTGAGCTGGCGGAATAGTACTCTTATTCCCCTATTTGAAAATAAGGGTGATGTACCATCAAGTTAGTCAAAGTCGTGAGGCACACTCAAGGCATTAGAGTACTCAAATCGATTGAGGTGCAAGGCGCAAAAATAAGCGCTTGGCGCACCATCTATATACTTAAAAATATATACCATAGTTATAATTCTTAAAAGTATAAAACAAGTTAGAAAAAGGAATAAACAAAACTAAAAGAAGAAAATTGTTAGTTGTTAGGAGATAAAGTATAAAACAAAAGAAGAAAATGACAGATAAAAGAGAGAGAAAAGATAAAGATATAGACTTTTAATTAATTAGTTAAAAATAAAGAAAAAAATGTAGATTTTACATTCAAAAGGTAAAAATAAAAAATAATTACTGCACTTTTAATTAATTAGTTAAAAAATGACAGATTTTACACTAATTTCGTCCAATTAAAATTACTGCACTTTATATTGCTGCTGGTGAGTTGGAATGCCTTCATGCTGCTGGATGGCGGCATTGGTTGGATGGAGACGGAGGTGCGCGGATGGGTGGCGGCGTCTGCACGTACGCATCAGGGTGGAGGTTGGGGCGCGGATGGGAGGCGAGCGCATGGCCTGGGATGGCGGTGCACAGGTCGGGGAAGGGGCGCAAAGGTCTGCGACGGCAGCGTACAGATCTTCGAAGGTGGGCACAGGTCTGGGACGGTGGCGCTTCGATCTGGGACGGCGACGAGGAGAGGCGGTTGGACGGCGCAGCAAGAAGCCACATTGCTTCGGCGGTCGGCGACTGTGCTCCCAGGTCGATGTTTTGTGGAATGCGGTGGCGCTGGGTGGATGGCGGCGGCTGGACGGTGGGGCAGCTGCACGGGGGGGGATAATAATTAATTATTAATTACAAATTTTAATTAAATATTATGAATCATAATATTATTTTGAGAATAACACTAGTTAGGTCATAGATTGGGAAACTCATTGAGTTTTAGTCATACCAAGGATAATTATTTCTTTATTTATTATTATGTCTGAAAGTAATTGGAAATTGGAATAACATTCTTTTATATATATTCACCAAAAGATGAATTAAGGGTCCATTTGGTTCACGGAATGTTAGATTACCGCGAGAATGTTAGATTACTTGGTATGTTACATTGATGGGAATGTTATCAATTTGTAACCCATATGTGTTTGGTTAAAATTAAAGGAATGTGACATTAATTTGTTTGGTTGAGTGATATCTTATACTCCCTCCGTCTCGAAAAGGTCCGTCAACTTTGACTTTCACGTGGATTAATAAAGTAAAAACTGTGTGGTTGAAATTTGTGCAGAGGAGAGGGAATTAACTTTAGTCACATATTCCTTACTTTAAATGGAAATGACAAATCTTTTTGGGACATCCAAAAAAGGAAATTTGACAAAACTTTTCGGGACGGAGGGAGTATTACATATTTGGTGAATTACTTTAATGTCCTTTACCTATTTTCTCTTAACATAACAAACTTATACACCCTAACTACCTACGACTAAAGTAATTTAACTTTAAGAAAACAATAAAATATCTTAATAATAAACAATCAAAATTAAGTGAATTGTTTTTTTAAAAAAGTATGTTTAATTGCACAAATGTCAAAGATTAGTGAACATTAGTAATAATTTTGTTTAAGTAAATGCATAATGACACGCATCAATAAATAAAGGTGAACACATTGTTATTTAAGCAGCTGCAGCAAAAAAAGAAAATAAATGTTACTCCGTACAATTTATATTTTTTTTTTTTTTGGAGTGAACTTACAATTTACGAGTTACGTAACATTTTAATTTTTCCTTTGCATTTGATTTTTTATTGAATTAAAATGTTTAATGAATTATATAACAACTTAGTGGACACGCTAACATAACAATTTAATATTAAAGTTCACCAAGTTGTTAAACATAACTTAGTGGTCACGCTAATATCCAAACTAAGTTGTTAAGACTCATGAATTAATTTGTTATGTTACAACAACTGGACATTGCCTGAGTTTAATCGACATAGTAGCAGAAGGAGAAAAGATAGACTTTCCTTGACCCGCTGAAGACAAACGTTGGCCTATTCACGTACTATATTGTGCATAGGATGGGTATTTTTGGAAGAAGATTTATGATCAGGAGGGAATCTAAAATAACCAAAGGGGAAGATGGGTTTGACATTACCCGCAAATTTTGGGAATGCAACATTCCCGGAAATTTTTCGAGCCTATGAACCAAAGTACCAAACAGGGATATCTTACATTCCGGACATCAGATTCCGGCCGGCATATATGATAACCCCAAACCAAACGTACCCTAATGGTGTGTGTGTGTAAATGAATACCCTGGGGAAGGACATAAAATAGAATATCTGATTTTTGAATTGCTATGAAACAATATATCTCATCTGATTGATGGTGCAGGATGATGGAGTCGGGTTTGCTACCAAAAGAGAAGGCGGCACAAGTTTTTGAGAAGAGACAAAAGAAGTCAATAAAATTTAGTTCCCCAATGAAAGCTGTTGGCGGCAGTGTAAAGAGGGAAACTGATTGTGTCATCGATAAGGAGAAGAAGAGGAATAGGCCTTCCCCAGCTGCTGCTGCTTCACAGAGAAAGCGAACTGCCCCATCAAAACTGTCAAACAAGACTAATAATAATAAACGCAAGAAGGATGATGATGATGAAACCGGAGTATCAGATGCGGGCGATGACGACGACGACGACTTTGTTGCTGCTCCAAGGAAGAAACGGAAGACATCCTCATAGCTTGTGGTGATAGGGCATTAGTTAGTGACATTTTGGGTTTCTAATCTAATTTGGGGCTTGCCTTATCGCTCCTACCCATTACACCTTTTTCTAACTACTAAAGCTCGTTTGGATCATCATCATTAATGATAATATTATAATATTAATTATTATTATTAAGAAAAAATTCATTAATATTACTCTATAGAATGTGCTGGGTAAAAACATTACTTAGTAATTATTGGTGATTATAATTGTGTTTTGAATTTATATTGTAGTAGCTTACATTTAATGATGTACTTACTAGAGTTGCTACGATGTAAATTTGAACACAATTATAGACACTAATAGTTACTACCTCGGTCTCATTCAAAGGTTCTCGTTCACTATTATTCGGCCAATGTAAAGGTTTCTTAATATTTTATTTTATATATCCAAATTTTATTAAATTTGTGTTTTTCTTTTGTAGCTTTATAAAACTTTTAATTTAGTTTGTGAATATTTAATTTAATAAAAAATTTATGGATAGTGATCAATTAACTTTATTGTCAGCCAAACATCGTAAACCGCATGAGAACCTTTCTACGGGACGGGTGGAGTACTAAGTAATGTTTTTGTCCTTGACTTTTTTATGAGTAATATTTAAGGAATAATAATAGTAGTAGTAGTAATAGTAATAATAGTAATAATAATAATAATAATAATAATAATAATAATAATAATAATAATAATAATAATAATAATAATAATAATAATAATAATAATAATAATAATAATAATAATAATAATAATAATAATAATAATAATAATAATAATAATAATAATAATAATAATAATAATAATAATAATAATAATAATAATAATAATAATAATTTCGCTCTCTCTCTTCCTGCTCTGGCGATTCATGGAGATTTCTTGAGTTTCAGAGGGGGGAGATCGAAATCCCCTCCTGTTTCTCTTGATTCTTCGTGAATTCCCGTCTTTTTCATCGCCCTTCGTTTCTTTCTTGCCTTGTTTTACACTGCGTACACTGTAGCTATAAGAATTCTAACTTCAAATGGAGTTGCTCCATCAAATGAAACTACTTTAGCTACCCTTCAGTCCAAACATCCCTCTGTCCCCCACCTACTTTTTCCACTGAACTTCATGATGTGCAACCTCTTGTTGCAGACTCTGATATGGTTTTCAGCAAATTATGTAGTTTCCCCAAAAGGACTAGTTGTGGTAGAGATGGGCTCCATGCTCAACACATGCTTGATGCACTTACAGGGCCTGCTGCAGCTATTGCTAATGAGGTTATTCAATCTATTACTGCTATTGTCAATCTTTTGTTGTCAGGTAGTTGTCCATCACAACTTGGAGAATACATTGCTAGTGCACCTTTGACTCCTTTGCTCAAACCAGACGGTGGGGTTAGACCTATTGCAGTTGGCACAATATGGAGGAGGCTAGTTTCTAAAGTTGCAGCTTCTATGGTTAACAAGGAAATGGCTTCTTATTTGGGTAATTTTCAATTTGGTGTTGGGGTTAAATGTGGCGGGGAAGCTATCCTACATTCTATCAACCGTATTGTCTATGAATTTGGTGATGATAATACCAAATCTATGCTTTTGGTTGATTTCCAAAATGCTTTTAACATGGTTGATAGAACTGCTATGCTTCAGTATCTATCATTGGGTACGCTTTTGTTACTCCTCCCCTGCCAGGTTATACTATAATACACACATTCTTGCTTCTTCCCAAGGTGTGCAACAAGGTGACCCCCTTGGACCTCTTCTTTTTGCCCTCACTTTACACCCAGTTGTATGAGAAAATAGAATTCGGAAATAATGGCTACCCTTTAGGGTGCCTTGGCCTGGTATTTATAATTGTTGAGGTTTATTCCTTCAACCCTCGGGTCCAACACGTAAGCCCAAGGATTTCGAATGGAGTGTGTATGAGTATCTAGCCCAACTAGCAAGTAATAAAGATCAAGGAGAACAATAAGGTAGCAAGTAAGTGATTAGGTATTATTATCTCTTAAGAACTCCCCAATACAATACTTTTCGCTAAGGCTCCGTCGGCCGTTCGTCTTACAAGGCAGTAGAAGTGCTGCGAGTAAGAATACTATAGCTAGAATGCTGAGAATAGAAAGTTGCCAACCCCTTACAATGAAATAAATGCTTCTATTTATACCCACCAATGGGCAGGTGGCTATACTGACGTGGAAGCCTGTGGTTCGCTGGTGTCTCAACCACCAAATCTTCAGCATTAAATGCACTTCCCGCCAGAATCTAGGTTTCCCGCCTAATTAGTGGGGACGTTCGCCCGCCAGGGGAGCTAGCTGGATTTCTCCAAGTGGCCTCCAAGGGGTATCAGCCGTTCGTCCCCTGGCCCTTTGTGGATTCTCGCCATGTGGGCTGGACTGCCTCCAATGACTATGGGCTTGCTCTGGCGACGTTCGTCGCCATTCGGGTAGCCCGTGGTCCTGCTCCTTGTCCCTGCATAGACGTTCGTCGAGGTGGGCTGTTGAGCCTGAACCCCATCTGGAGATGTTCGTCCATCCTGGGGGAGATGGGCTTGCCAAGCTATCTTAGTGACCTATCTGGACGTACATCCGGAAGAGAGGGTAAATGGGCCGGTCCTCAGCTTGGGCCATTAACCCAACACAAGTCCCCCACTTCTGATGTTCTGAGCATGCACAGGACATAAGGAAGTATGATCTCCCCCGAGGGCAAGACGCTCGTGACCTGATACTTGTGTTGTTGCATCCGGTGAAGGCGTACGCTCGTGGTCATGATGCTTAACAGCTGTTGATGGCTCAGGAATCGAGGTGACGGCTGCCATTGCGACGGTGCATTTTCCGAGGAAACGCCATCATTACGCTTCCATCCCACGCAAAGCGCGTGGGCCGGAATACGCTCCTTGCTACGTGTCAACCCCTCGTTGGTTCCCTCACCGGTGCTTCTCCTATAAATGCCGGGTTTTCCCTCTGGATTAGGGTTCCCAATTTTTTGCTCTCTTGCTCTTGAATTTCCGCTTCTCTTCAAGTCCTTCCCCGCTTCCGAGTTCGGCCAATCTCCTCGCAAGGTAATTTCCATCCTCTGCTTCTTTTATCTGTCTTGAATTTTCACCGAGATGGTCTCGATGGAGATTTCGTCGAGTTCTAATTCCGGTTCGTCGGGTTCTTCTTCGGGCTCCTCTTCCGACTCCGGTTCACGCTCTTCAGGCGAGACTAGTACGTCTGGTAGTTCTGGTTCGGCCCCTACCGCGGGAACTATTCGGGCCGGGGGAGCCCCGAATGATGTTGTTGCGACTATCCCTGGCGATGAGGGTGCCGATTCAGGAGGGCAAGATAATATGGCCCTCGATGTGGTGGATCCCGCGGCTGATGCTGGGGAGCAGGCTGCTCCTAGCGAGGACGGTCGTCCGGCTGGATATGACTCAGGGGCCGAGGCCCAGGATGGCTCTGACATCGAAGTGTTTGATCTCGGGCTAAAAGTGGATGTGGAGCGGCATCTATGCCCGATCAAGAATGTCCTCTGCCATGAGCAGATTTTCTCGCCGGTGGCCCTTAACAAGCTCAAGGTGTTCTTCCCCCCTCCGTCCGTATACAGCCTCCGTGGCGCCACCCATATGATGAGAAGACGCCCGGGAATGGTTATGGTGCTTCTGGACTCCATCGAGGCCGGGCTGCGTTTTCCTCTCCATCCGTTCTACGTGGAGTTCTTCTGCTGTTATCAAATAGCCCCTGCTCAACTTATGCCGAATTCATACCGGTTCGTCTCCGCTTTCCTAGTCCGTTGCAAGGACAATGGGGTTACCGCCACTCTGGACTTGTTCCATTACTTCTACCGGCTCACACCTCAAAATTCTGACGGCTTTCTGAGCGTCGCTGCCCGTCCGAAAAGGAGGCTGTTCAGCGGTGCGCCAAGTTCCATCCATGATTGGAAAAATCGGTTCTTCTTCGTGCGGTATGCGGATGCTCGTCTGCCGTTGCGGTGGAATGGCTATCCGCCCAAGATAGGGTCTCCGGATCTGACCGATGATCTGGAGGAAGACGTCAAAAAGATCTCGACGGACGGCGTCCGGCCCTTGGAGGACTTCCTCACCTTCGAGGCACTCGCCGCAGCAGGAATAGGTACCGCCCATGCTCTTGGACTTCCCCCCTCCTACGCTCGTCTCGGGGTACTGGGCGGTCCTGACCTCTGAGGTGAGTGTCCCGAGTTACTCCTGACGTTCGTCCATCTAACATTGTCATTTTCCATTTTTTCAGGTCTTCCCCCGACCCAGGAACAAATGAATCACGAGAAGCTCCTCACGACGAGGAAATGCAAAGGTGCTGCTGCTGATGCTGCCCTCGCCAAGGCCAAGGCTGTTCAAACGGCCGATTCCAATTCTTCCGCCTCTCAGGCCGACCGTCGCACGGTGGAGGCGTAACAACACCTTATTGCCACGGTGATGGCACAGGGGTCCCAGGCCCCAATCCTTAATTCTGGCGCTTCCGAAGTCGTGGCGCCCTTGCTGACCGTCCATCCCCATGACGGGGAGAAGGCGAAGGACAAGAAGTCCAAAAGGCCCCGGGGGGCTTCCTCTTCGGCCCCCGAAGAGCAAGAGTTGATTCTTCCTTCCCTTGGACGTCCGGCTCATGACGTCTGGCAGGAGATTGCTTCCCTGGTCGGCGTGGAAGTGCCTCCCCGGACGTCTTCGGAGGCCTCCAATGCGGTTCTGGCCGCCGCTCTTCAGGTGAGACTTCGCCCCTCGTCGGGTGGTATTTTATCGTATTCTGTTGACCTGAGGTCTCATCCTCTGTGTCTGTTTTGTAGGTCGGGCTCTCCACCCTGCAAGCCGAGGTTGCTCGGGACGCCGACGCCCTCCAGGCCAAGAATAAGGCAGATGCGGCCTTGAAGAAGGCGAGGGAGGCCGTTCGTCTTCAGGAGAAGGAGACGGCAGCCAAGGAAAAGGAGCTGCAGGCCGCTCTGAAGGTAGCTCGCGAATCTTCCGCGAAGCTTGCGGCCCTGGAGAAGGCCGGATTCAAGCTCGTCCCGGCTCTCCCTGCCCCCAAGGACGAGGCCCCCGAATGGCTCGTCGACGACTCTGGGTATCACAACTCTGGGGCCTTCATGATCGCCGCCCAGAGGTACCTTGGGGGCGCCTTTGGCGATGTATTCGCCGCTGAACTGCAGAAGCGTGCGCCGAAGGACCGGCTCAAGTTCGGGGTCCAAGTTCTGGAGAGTGCTCCCCTGGCCGAGAAGTTCTTGTATGACGTCGGAGACAGCTCCTTTGTCATTGGCTACAACGAGGGGGTGAAAGCCACACTGCCGGTCTTTGCCGCTCTTCAGGGCCCCGGATTCAACCTGGCCCAGCACACCACGGACCCGGAGCTGATTCGAGCGGTGGGCAAGCTGGAGCGGGACGCCCGGCGGGAAGAAGCCAAAGCCAGGGGTGAGGTCCCAGAGCCTCCGACCCCCGAGCCCGAGCCCGAGGAGGAAAAAGAAACCATTCCTGGGGGGTCCCGGCCTGTTTCCCCCGAATTTTGTTTAATGTAGCTTGTAATCTCTTTGTTATGATTCTGTAATATCCGGCCAGTAGAGCCGAGGAATACACAACTCTTTTTGCCCCATCATTGTCTCTACGTTCATGAACTCTTCTTGTTTCCTTTCATTGTTAGTAGTATTTCGATTCCTTGGGATATTGTTAAAGTTCGCGAGGACGTTCATGTCCATATTTCATTTTTGCATTCCGGTCTTTCGAGATACGAACGTATCGCCAGGGGTTCGTCCCATACGTGTGAACCACCTCCCGCACTGTACGTATTCAATCCTACGTGCGGGGGCGCGAACGTATTCCCCAGGATCAAAGTTGGTAGAGACGTCTGTCACGTGGTTACAGGCATAATTATCCATGCTGTGCGTGCTCAACTTAAACTTTGTGGGGCGATGTCCGTCTGTATGACTAGATGTGGGGGTACGGACGCACTCCTCAGAGACAATGCCTTGATAGAGATGTTCGTCACGTTAGGAGTAGCATAACCTTTTATGCCGCGTGCTCAACCCTGATTTCATTCATGGACGTTCGTCTGGTCGCGTGTTGCGGTGGTGCGAAGCATGGAAATATGAACGCAATCTGTGGATGCGGTCTCTGTGTGCCCCTATGGGGGACGCTCGTGGCACCAAACCGGGTTCCTTCGTGGTGACTGTGGGGTGGTAACATCGAGGCGCTTTTAATACCGTGGTAGGTACCGGTATCCAGGCGCCACGTGTTCCTGTTAGTACCCAATTTTAATAAGATTTTGATGATGTCACTATACTAAGAGTCAATATGTCCTGCGTTCTTACTTTAATTAAAGGTTGATCAGGCTCTCAAACTGTGACTAATTAAAATGTACAATTTTTGTACTAAATAAATTTTTACTGGAAAATTAAAATGCAATAAGGTATTCTTTTTACCTTAAAAGGATATTCAGATCCCACCAGTATAAATTTATTTAGTACATAAAATTATCAAGTCACATAATCAGCTGA